CACCCGACACCCCCGCCAACGCTCCTTCGCCCACCGACAACCCTGCGCACAGCACCCTCGGCCCCACCACCTCCGCCAGCACCGCCATCCCCTCCCCCTCCTCCCGCCGCTGTGCACTCACCGATGCCATCCCCGCCGCAAAGAAATCCATCCCATCCACTGCCCTCTCCTCACTCACCGACTCCACCAACCGCGACCACCGCACACACAACCGCAACACCTCCGATATCGTCGGGCTGCCTCCGCCGCCATCACAGAGTGGGGATATAGGAGAAAGGGCATTGCGGCTGCTCAAAGATTCGCCGGCACCGGGAGGAGAGCAGCGGGAGGCCCAGCCGGCGAGTGCACCAGCGTAACAGCGCTGGGCGTCGATCCAGTTGGCGAAGGAAGAACGCCAGTTTCGCAGTTCTGCAGCCAGATGGACTGCGGAATGCGGCGGGTTTGGTGGTGTGGCGGCGGCAGTGTTGGACATGAGGAGGAGCTTGCCTTCGTCAATGGTACGTTTTTGGATCAAATGACAGTCCGCCATTGTTTTCCACATACGGCATAAGCTGCATAAAAAGTAAAAAAATAGATATGATAATTCTCAGAATACACCAGGATTTGCAGGACAAAATAGGAATATTTACATAATACTACAACAACAACCACAACAACAACAACAACAACAGCAGCAGTCTTAATCTCACAACCTCAGATTGGCTACATAAATATTTACATACATATCGCATAATTCTTCTGTATTTACAAATTTAAAATTTACATTTATAAAACTTAAATTTATACATAAGAAATAATTTCATTGTTAAACTAAATGATAATAATTTTTTTATATAATATTAAAGAATTGATTTCTGTGCATGTAAATAATAAATTTAGATATAAAGATTCACATATTAGATATTTAAATACATCAAAACTATGTGCCATTACATCTAAATGACCAATCTCAAAATCTAATTCACTTTGCTTGCTGAAATTATTATTACTTTTTTTCAAAATCATAATAATTTTCAAGGAAAGTAGGCTGAAAATTATTAACATGTATGAAATATATAACAAATAGAAGGTAATAATTAAAACATTAAACTTACCTTTTGAACGTCATATTAATAGAAAATAAATAAACACAATCTAATCGATCCAGTCTGATGTACAGTCATAGTGTTAAAAATAGTTTGGAGAATTTAATACATATCAATAAGTCAGTGTTATTTTGGACATGTTGAATCCTAATTTGTCAGTGAATCACACTCAAGAAATAGAGCATAAGAAGAGAGACAGAGAGATGAGTGAACAATGATGAATAGTAGTCCGTCGTGATCAATTATCAATTGTGTCTTGTTCATAAAATATTTCTCATTTTTATTAAAGAGCTTACAATTTCATGATGTTATATTTTTTCTTCTGCTTTAAAGGGAGACTTTGATTAAGGTCTTTATGATATTTGACATGTATCAGCTTCTCTCTGGCTCAACCGGCTTAAGCTTAACTGGATCGAGTCAGCAAGATCAGCTCGGCCGGTTGAGCACAGTCAATATTGGTCAGTCGGATGATATGACCCGACCATTGACCATTGACATCTGATGATGAGCCTCTGGGGTGCGTCTTTAGGAAATACTAATGAACCAATATTTCCTTTAAGTCATCTCTTTTATGTTTGGCTCAAACACTCTTTTGTCTCATTTTTTATTATCGTTGCATCCTTCGATTAACTTTGGCCCCTTTCGTGATTCGGTCAACTTTGGCCTTGTTGGATTAGCTACGACAGCTTCACTTGGCGGGAATATAGAACTTCCTATTCTTTTGTTAGTGGACCCAACTTCGCTATACTCTATTCTTTTGGACTGTTAAATCTTGTTAGGTAAGTATTGACACATTTTTTATGTATATATTTTAGTTCTCTGATTCTCTTAGGCTTATAAAGTGACTATGCGACAATAATAAAAAAATTAAATGCAAAAAAAAAACTTCAACTATTGTTTAATTAGTGACTCAATTATTGAATTCTATTGATTTTCACGAATTTGATTTTCATAAATAAGACGCAGTTGGACTCCTTCACATTCCTTTTTTTTGTCCCGTAGCACCTCTTGTTTGAATCAGTCGACTTTCAGGTATTGTGATGGAAAATGTATCAAATCCCTCATGTGACATCCCCAATAAGATCTGATCCATATTATATTAAAAAAAACCAAAAGGCCAGAACCACCCAAAAAGGTAAACAAAAGAAAAAAAACCATCACTAAGAAAGGAAAAGCGGATGCAATTGCATTGGCAGATCAGAGATGAGGTCGTCTGATTCACACCTTGGTCCTAAACGAAAGAATGTTCAATCAACCCTGACAGTCAATCCGACCGCCCTCCTTTGTTGTTGTCCTCACGTTGCACGACGAGGGTGATGTGTCGATTAAAGAAACTGGGGTGTATTGGCTCCTGGGCATGGTCCTCGGTCTTATTTGTTGGATTTTGAATTTTACTTAAAATTATTTTTCTTTACGTAGTCTTTTGCTGTAGATGACTCGAATTTAAGAGGCCTGGTGAGGATCCAACCCTAATTTTTTTAACTATGAATGAATTTGATGTTTTTCGGTCTGTCTCACCCTCGTAACCTTTATTGTGTATATTATCTTACCATTTGCATATTTTTGTCGAATGATCTTGTGATGAGCGCTTGGTTGAGATTATTGATAGATCTGCAATTTTAAGAATATTTTTAGTTGATCTACTTTGTTATCGCCCACTCAAGTTTTACACTTTTCATGTCTAGGTTGCTCAATTAGGTTGTCGCTTTGGAGAGGATGCACCTTACGCCAGAGGTATTAAGCGGATCTTATGGTAGTCTTTACACGGGTAATTGTTTAGACTTACTGATGTGGTGATTTCTACGCTACCCGTAGTGGATATTGTTGTTGATGAGTAGGAAATCTTTGCCTCTGCAGCTTGACATGTTTGAAGCTAAGAGGCATGGATTCTTGTGCGTTTTACCGATCTAATGTTTATTCCTTGTTGTAGGTCATTTAGAAAATTTTACCGATTGTATGTTTATTTGTAATTGTCAGTTTCAAAATTTCTCTAATCGGACATTACTCATTGCTGTCGGTTTTGGAGTTCGGATGGAACCACTGTTGGCGGATCAGTTTGAGTTTCCTGAGTGTCGGTCGGATTTTGATGATCCCTTGTTGGACTCTAGAGCTATGATCTTAAATCGCTGCGGGGGCTTGACCTCAGTGAATTGCCGAGAGAACATATTTTTAGGATGCCGAGGCTCCTCAGTGATCAATTATTTTATTCATAAAATGATTCTCCTATTTATAGAGGAGATAACACAATATTGTGATATTATATTTTTTCCCTGCTTTAAAGGGTCCGTGCTATGGTATTTATGATATTTTCCATGTATGAGTTTATCGTTAGACTGTTTTCTGCCTCGGTCGGCTGAGCTTAATTGGCATTATGTCTGCAAGATTAGCTCGGTCAGATGACACCCGCTTGGTCGACATGGGTTGGCAGTTGATATGACCCAACTTTTGATCCTTTGATCTTTAATGAGGAGCCCTTAGGCGTCCCTTTGATGGTTGGAGATATTAGAGAACCGGTTTTCCCTTGAATCAATTCTCTTGTGATAGTTTGTTTGGATACTCTTTGGTCTCGTTTCTAAGTGGTTCGCTCTTGCATCCTTCAATCAATTTTAACCCATCTCGTGGTTCAATCGTTTGTGGCCTTATTGGCTTTGTGGGACAGCTCCACTCGAGCGGACAAAAATGCCTCATGATCTTTTGTCGATGGTCCCACCCTTGTTGTATCCTTTCCTTCTGAACAGTTAGATCTCCTTAGGAACAGCGTTGACAATTTCTTGATGTACAACACATTTAATTAGTTATATTTAATTAGTTATATATATATATAAGTTGAATTTTATCATGATATTTATTACTCTAATAATTTATCATGGTATGTAATCTATATAGCCTGTGGAGAAACTAGTAAATACTCTATTAGAAGAATAATTGGTGCCTGCTTTCAAGCATCATGAAGCTACCTGCACTTAACTATGGTTGGCTAAAAAACTATTGTGTTTAGTTAGCAGTATAATATTTACCTTATATTGATACTAACTATTAATGCAGCTTTCAATATATTACAACGTAGCAAAATTATTACATACAATAATCTATCATTAAAGCAGACTCGTACGCTGCATTTGAAATCACAATCAGCACTCTGAGCTCTACAAGGCACTCATGAGCTTGTAGTGTGATTCATTAACTCCTTGAACTTTTGGAGTTTGAAGAATGGTTTGTTGTGAAGTGTGAAATTTCAAAGAGAGACTGGGATAAATTTCAAAGATTTCCCTTTGATAGATAATCAGACTAACAGAGATTAATTTTAATTTTATGAATCAAGATTTTCTATGGATGCAAATCCCAATAATTAACTCTCGAGCTTGATGACTAAGAAAACTATCGATTATAGACGACACCATTGTGCTAGTGAAGGATTTGAAAAAGAGGGATGATCATTTCAATCAGATCCTACAATTCTTTATGTTTTGAGTAAACCTACTAGATTTAATCTACAAATGATAAAAAGGACTAAAAGACCATGTATTCCAAAACTTCTTATTAGCAATAATATTTTATCTTTAATCATATATCCTAAGTGAATCAATATCGCAATACATTAAAAAGTTTTTTTTTGTCACGACCTTAATCCAAAGTTTAGAATAAACTAAGAAGGGAATTGATGATCGGACAACATAATTAAATTTTCAAGTATTCTATCCCTACACTAATATTTTAATATCCACATATTAATTGAAAAAATCCACTAGAGGAAGCAATTTAATAAACAAATAAATATTTACTTTTCCCGCTGTTGAACTCATTTTTTGTAAACATTAACTATCTTCTATTCATCCTATTTAAGAATTTAAAACCTAAAAGAATATTAAAAGAATATAATGAATTATCTAAATATAACTCTGTGGAGCAATCACACTTCTAAACCTTTAACCTAAGAAAAAAAGACAAAATATATGCTGATATTTCTTATTTCAGTATAGAAAACCTTATAATAATCAAAAGTATGTGTCCATGACATTTATTTAATGAAAAAAAGACTTAGACTTTGATATGCATTAACTTTAAAATGTACTGTTTGAGGTCTAATCTTTAACATTATATTTAATTTATGCTATTAAAATTCAACAATTAAATATTTACATTTCCGGTTGTTAAACTCGTCTTTTGTACACATTAATTCATCTTCTATTCATCTTATTCAGAGCTTAAAACCTAGGAAAATATGAAAATATAATGAGTTATTTAAGTAATCCAATGGTGCAATCATACTTCCAAACTGCATTAACCTAATAGAAAAGACAATATATATGACAATCATTCATATTTCACTATAAAAAATTTTATAATAATTTGATGTATGTGCCTATAACGTTTATTTGATGAAAACCCTTAAACTTCACTATGCATTAACTTTTAAAGTACTCTTTAAAGTCAAATTTTTAACTTTACATTTAGTTCATGCTATT